TGTCAAAAATACATGGCTATCTTTTGAATCCGACTAATGCCTCATTCTTGACATTTAGCTCTTCCCACCTTCTATAAATAGGCTCGAGAATAAGTTTTTAAAACTATAACGACCCTTAACTTCTGGTCATCAATACTATGTACGTACCTAACTTATGTCTTAACATCACTACTTATAGCTATGAATATTTAGCTTTTTTTTTTCTTTCGTGCGGACATAACCCTAAATTATTTTTCACATGCCATTGTCATTCATTTGCAGTTTGCATAATAGCATCATAATAACATAAACATATTTTGTGACTTAAGGTTGCTAAATATAGCGTCATAGTCTCGTGATCTTTATTTACATCACATAACCTATTACATAACCTCTACGTTTCATTACATAACTTAACCATTTCCATAAATATGGTTTACTTAAAACACCTTGCAGCGTTTACCAAGTGCATGTAGATCCCATTATCCACTTGCCCACATCCCACTGCTCATCCTTTTCTGCACGCCCAGCATACAGGTTTTAAGGAGCCGGTGCCTTACCCAAGCTTCCTACAACAAGAACAAACGTAATGAGCTTTCGCTCAGCAAGTAACAATATGTCATAATAAAAGCATACAATAATGCACACCCATATGTCCATTAACATCATACATCGTAACTTAATTTCTAAACGCTCATAACATTTATCGTATTATGCTTCATCTTTTCTTATTTCGTACTTTATTAAATTTTCATTCTCATGTTGTTCATATGTCATACTTCAGTTAACTTTCATTCTTGTGTCATTCGTATTCTTTTCCAACATTCCGAACGACCTTATTATGTTTTCTTTTCTTTCATTTCATATTTGTTTACGACTTCCGTACTTTCATGTGGAACGGTTTTCTTATTATATTTTCTTTACTTTCCATTGCGTATTTCTTTCCGACTTTCGTCATCTCATGCGAAACGTTGGGCGTATCGTATTTTCTTTTTTTTTTAACATTTAGGGCCCTTTTTATACGACAATCATCTTGTGTTATTAGAACATCTTTCATATGGCCCCTATCTTGGAATCTTATGTTCCTCAAGGATTTGTCCTTTCTTTCATATGGCCCCCATCTTGGAATCTTATGTTCCTCAAGGATTTGACCCCTTTTACTTTATCATACTTTAATCGGTTCATAATAAACACAAATTTCATATCATACTTTGAAAACACCTTCTTACAAATGCTGGTACAGACAATATTATTAATTTCTTATCGTTTGTCATCTTTATTTGTTCATCATTTCTTTATACGTCATTTTACTGTCATCTTTTCTCAACATGACACTAATTTAAATCTTATTATGCGTTTTAATGCATTTCCATTAATTTTCTATGAAATTGACTTTTCGTAAAAGTTTAACTTTTCATTGACTTGACCTTGACTTTGACTTAGTCTCAGACTTTTTACAGAGTAAAATTCTACTACTACTTAAAGTCCATAAGTACATTCATAGCATTGTACATCTTGAAACATTCATAACATCATACATCTTGAAACATTCATAGCATCATATATTATTCAAGAATCATCATTCTTATTCTAACATTCATTGAGCATGTAATATGCACAATTTTGTGCAATACGGAAGAATAAGTTCGGTCGTGTCATAGACAAAAGTAAACAACTGGTACTTACAATATGCACAATTTTGTGCAACATACACAAATAAGTTTGTTCGTGACATATAAAACTACTGTACTTACAAGAATTCCGCAAACGTTACAATCTTTGAGTCAGCAAGAACCTCACCACTTTGATCGTCTACCGATCCTATTATATAAATTTCGATCGTTAGATTTATAATCTAAGACTAGTATTTACAATAAAACTTGACTTGAAATGATCTATAATGTCCATGTTTAGAATCCGGATTAAAACATCTCTTAAATCACCATCGTGCACTAAACTCGTGCATACTTGGCCTAAAATCTCATTTTAGACATGTTTCAGAAATTACCCCGAAATTGGCATCTCAAGTCGTTTTTGAAGAAAAAGCTATTTCACAAAAGTTGCTCGGAACTAAATTTCCTACAACTTAATGTTGGTCACTTTTTGAAATCAATCTTCTATCTTGGTCCTATAGCCTAAACATACTCAGATACACGTTTTCGGTCATTAACCAAGTTTTCAGGTTTGATCCGAAACTTAGGATTCCAATCGTTTCAGGTTTCCCACACCTTTTTAACCACCTAATCATCTCATTGCTCATACGCTCCATTATAACCAAGATTGGTTCACAATTTCTAAACTAAATTTCAGCGGCGTTCCACCTTATTCTTCACATTTTACGAGCAAACCATAGCTCGTTTTATCTGCTATTTCAACCTTTCTCATTCTTTTAATCATCATAAACATCATAAGCTCTAGGGTTTCATTACCATTCACAAGAATTCTCCATGAACAAAAACACTAAAATAAAACCCAATAATAAAAAATTTAACCTTTAAACATTAGGTTTTTCATTACCATTACTAACCATAAGCTTATCATCATCTTAGGCAAATATTTCCCATGCTTCCTACTATCCATAGACGTGCAGCCATGGTAGAAAAAGTGAGAAGAAAACTGAAATTTACCTTAGAGAATGAAGAGAAGTCCTTAGTGTCGCGAACTAGCGGTGTAGTTTCGTCAATTTCGATTAAAACTCGTTTTTCTCACTTTATGTGAATTTTTTTTTCTTCTGCTCTCTTTGGCTGATGCTCTCTGGTTTCTTGGCATGAAAAATGAGTATTTGGTAGTATTTTCACGTCATAAAATCGACCTAATAAAGTAGGAGGGACTAAAGTGCAAATTTTGACTTTTCTAGGGTCTTGTTTGTAAAATTCAACAAAATATCTTACTTGGCTTCTCCATTAAGCTTGGCTGGCCTTATCCTTTCTTTCCACATGCCAAAATCTGAGCCCTCCATCCAATTAATCCCTTTGAATCTCAACCATTCATTCCTAACAGTTATCTCATTTCGATTCAGTTAAATTCCAATCGGTGCGCGTTTTATCTGCGTTTTTCAAACAGTTAGTCAACTTAATCAACTTTATCCAACCTTGACTAATTAATTGACTCTTGGTCAATAAATGTTGACTTGGTCAACCCCAATCCGTCGAAAACCTCAATTTCCTCAGTTCGGTCTTCCGAACCCTTTTTGCGTCATTTTTCGTTCCGATTGTTTCTGAAACCCAAGAATTTATATCTTTCAATTCCTTTTCATTTCTTAACCTTAATATTTATGTGTTAGCCCACTTGTGGGTTTAACACAATATCCTGCACTTCTTTCCTAATTGCAGTCTGAAAATCGGTAACTCCATTATAACTTGTTGCGCACTCGATACCCTTTTTCCAACATTAATGTGGATTAGTAGTACCTCGGTCACCTACCTTAGTGACGTTATGCTTAATGATGTTAAATTAAGGTGAAATTTCACCAATTAAACGAACTACTTCCTTTTTCATCTAATTTGATCGTGTGACTTTGTAGCATAATGTTATAATAGTACGAGGGTCACCTACATTAGTAACATTAAACTTAATGATGAGTTTACTGAGGTGGCGTTTTGACATGTATAGTTTACCGAGGTGACATCTATTTTATATTGCTAGTCTTATAACCCTCTATATTTTTCTCATCATTAAGTTATTTGATGGATGGTGCAACGATAATTTATTTTTACCATTATAATTATTTTGAATTAAAAGGTGAATTTTATTTAGAAAATAAGTGAAAAATAATGCCATAGTATGTGTAAAAATACTAGGTGATTTATCTATTTTGTATTGCTATGATATGGATAAAAACGTCGGAAATTTTTTTTAAAAGTACACGCAAACTGAAAAATATTAATGCACTTGTTGGAAAGAAAGACCGTTCGGTCGGTCCTCATTGTGTGCAGACCAATCAAGTTTTGAAGATATCAAAAACTTTGGATTTGTCTCTTCCAATTGCCGGAACAACATCGGAGTGTTAACGGAGGTGGACACGGGAGACTATGGACGACGACGAGGCGGTGGGCAAGAATGGGGAGGGGATGTTTTCTTTGGAGAGGTTTTTTTTTTTTTTTTTTTGAAGAAGAAGATGAGTTTTTTTTTTTTAATATTTGTTTTTCCTATTTAGGAAGATTTTCTGATATTTTGGTGTATCGGTAAGTTAAGTTTTTCTAACGGTTAAATCTGTATACTTTTTAACTTTTACGTAATTTTATGCAGATTAAATAGTTAAAAAAACTTAACATACCGGTACAACAACGTACCAGAGAATGTCATTTCTTTTTATTAATCATTTTATTAATTATGATCCTATTTTATTTTTTATAACAAAGGGTATATTGAAGAAAGTAAAAGTTTCATTAAGGAGACGTTTGGTTTATGCATTAGAATCATAAGATTATAATCATTTTTTATTTACGTGTATTTTTTATGAAAAAAAAATACTGTAACAAATTATTAACTATAATTTAAATCGGGGTATGAATTTTCCAACCAAACAACCTCTAAATGAGGAGACTATTAATTTGAAACTTTCACATTGAACGTCAGTAATTTGAAAGGAAGAACAATTTTTTAAGGTTATTTTTAAAAAGGGTCGCCACGTCAGCGGAAGTTTAACTGGAGCTCCGTAAGTTTTTCTCTCTTCTTCTCGTTTTGGTTTATTTTGTTTTTCCTTTTTTTTTTCTGAATTAGTTAAATCTAGTATGGTAGGTCTTATTTTAATTTTGTGCTCCTGCATCTTTTTCTACCAAAAGATTCAGATTTGATGGTTTTGTTTTGACCCTACCGTAGGGAAAATTAACTCTCCTACCACAGACTTTTCCTAATTGTGTTTGCCTTCTGATCCTTCTATGCCATAAAATTTCTTCCAAAAGGTGATGGTGGGGTTTGCCCGTTGATTACGAAAGTTCATTACCTACAAATGACGTATATGAAAATTTAAGAACCTTATAAGTCAAATATCATGATTATAGCACCAATATTGAAATGAACCAAAACGCTTTTTTAAGATTCGTCCTTATCCTATCTTTCTCCACAGCCACCACTACAGTCTATTAATTCACAGCCAAAAAGCTTTCATTGGCCGTCTCACCTAACCATGGCGACTTTGTTCGTCTCTTACGTTTTCTTTGTGGCAATTACTTCTTCACTTTCATCTTCAAATGCCCATCTTACTCTAACTGCAGGATCATCCCTCTCTGTTGAAAGACCAAACGACGTGTTAACCTCACCGAATGGAATTTTCTCAGCCGGTTTTCATCTTGTCGAGGAGAACGCATACTACTTTGCAATATGGTTCAATGAGCCATCATCAGACAAAGATCGCACCATAGTTTGGATGGCAAATCGTGATCAACCTGTCAACAGAAAACGCTCAAAACTATCCCTCCTCAAAAACGGTAATCTTATATTGACCGATGTCGGTCAAATCACTATTTGGAGCACAGGCACGGTCTCACGTTCGTCGTCCCAGTTGCACCTCGACGATACCGGCAACATGGTTCTACGTACTTCCGACGGCGTTGTTTTGTGGCAGAGTTTCGATTCGCCGACGGATACCCTTCTCCCAGAGCAACCACTCACTAGGTCCGGAAAGCTTGTGTCGTCGAGAAGCCAAACCAACTTGTCCTCCAGTTTCTATAAGCTCTTTTTCGACAACGACAACGTTCTCCGTCTGATCTATGATAGCATCCAGTTTTCAAGCGTCTACTGGCCCGCCCCGTGGCTTCTTAGTTGGGAATCTGGAAGGTCCACTTACAACAATAGTAAAACCGCTGTGCTAGATTCCTTGGGGAATTTTAGTTCGTCTGATGATTTTACGTTCATGTCAGCTGATTATGGTGCCAATATTCAGAGAATGCTTAGGATCGATTATGATGGTAATGTCAGGTTGTACAGTCGGAAAAACCTCGGAGAGAAATGGGTTGTAATGTGGCAAGCGTTTTCAGATACATGCAAGATTCATGGCCTTTGTGGAGCTAATAGCTTGTGTAGCTATAGTCCCAATTCTGGTAGGAAATGTTCTTGCCTTCAAGGATATAAGATGAGAAATCAATCCGATTGGTTTTATGGGTGTGAACCAGAATTCACTTTAACCTGCGGCAAAAATGATTCCACCTTCATCAAAATTTCCAATTCTGAGTTCTTCGGGTATGATTTCGGCTTCTATCCAAACTCCACCTTCGACGCTTGCATGGATTTATGCTCACAGGTGTGTCACTGCGTGGGATTCCAATATTCTTTGTACCAATCAAGAGATTTGCTCAATTTTAATTGCTACCCCAAGACGTTGCTGCTGAATGGATACCAAACACCGAGTTTTTTCGGAGACATATACCTCAAGGTGCCTAACACCAGCCAGTTTTCTTCTAGAAATTCTATCGAAGAATTCATGTTAGATTGCTCCAACAATATTACCACAGATCTACCTAGAACATACAGGAAGAGCCATGTCAATATGTTGGTGAAACTCATGCTTTGGTTTGCTTGCGGAGTGGGAGCATTTGAGGTCATTTGTATTTTTTGTGTTTGGTGTTTAATCATTAGAAATCGACAAGGATCTCGTGAAGATACACAAGATTATGTTCTTCATACTGCCGGTTTTAAGAGATTTAGCTTCAACGAGCTAAAGAAGGCAACACGGGGTTTCTCCGAAGAGATTGGAAGAGGTGCGGGAGGAATTGTTTATAAGGGCGTTCTCTCTGATTCTCGGGTTGTAGCAATCAAACGACTCAGAGAAGCTTTGCAAGGAGAAGCTGAATTTCTAGCGGAAGTTAGCACAATTGGGAGGGTACACCATATGAACTTGATAGAGATGTGGGGTTACTGCGCAGAAGGAAAGCATAGGCTTTTGGTTTACGAGTACTTGGAACATGGTTCCCTCAAAGAAAATTTATCTAAGAACGTCCTTGATTGGAAAATGAGATATGAAATCAGTCTAGGAACCGCGAGAGGTCTTGCTTATTTGCACAACGATTGCTTGGAGTGGGTTTTACACTGCGATGTCAAGCCTCAAAACATCCTACTAGGCTCCGAGTATCAACCAAAGGTAGCGGATTTCGGTTTTTCTAAGCTATTAAATAGAGGAGAGCTTAGAAACCCAAGTTTCTCGAGGATTAGAGGAACTAGAGGATACATGGCTCCGGAATGGGTTACCAACCAATCGATCACATCGAAAGTTGACGTCTACAGCTATGGGATTGTTTTGTTGGAGATGTTGAGTGGGAGGAGCACAAGTGCCCATGACGCTGATGGAGTTCATCAGGAGACGCACACCAGAGGCCTAGTTAAGTGGGTAAGGGACAAGGTAAGTGGAAATAATAATGACATGACATTGTGTATGGAAGAGGTCGTGGAATCTTGGATGAAAGGTGAATATGCCAAGGAGAAGATGCGAATTTTGTTGGAAGTAGCTCTGAAATGCGTGGAAGAAGACAAAGATGCAAGACCCACCATGAGCGAAGTAGTGGAGATGCTTCAAGGTCCTTAGTCTATATATATATATATATATATATATAGCGTGTGAATTTCTATCAATGTTGCATTCAGAGTACTTTTCATGTTCTGCATGCTGTTATATACTTGTCTAGATTTGTTGCCTATGTTGCATTTGGTTAAATGGCCTTTCTTTTCCCCTTTTTGGTTTAGAGGTTGATGCTGTTATGCATAAGCTTTCTTTTTGTTTCTTTCTTTTCCCACTTGAATAAAATTAAGGCCTAGGGGCTTAAGCTTCCCTCAACTTTCTAAATTTTTTAACCTTTAAGTATCTATAGGTGTATCCATATACATATATACATACATATATATATATATATTTATATATCAAATTAGGTATAGTCTCCTCTACAAAATTGAAAATTTAATCTTTGAACCTTTATATATTTAAGAAAAATACTGCTTTTTAAATCAATACGACTAAGAATAGTACTTTCTAATTAAAACTACTATTAATCTTAACTTTAAAAGCCATTTATAATTAACTAAAAGTAAATAATACATATCTATTAGTTCATCTACTTTTAACATTAGTATTAACTTAATACCAACCAACCAAGAAAGCAACAAACAGAGCAGATAAGAAAAAGAAAGGGAAAAAAAACGAATACAAACACTACTATTGTAGGGTAAAATCTAAAACCCTACATTATGTATTGAATGAACGCCACGTGGCACAACTAAAGGTATTAAGTGATCTTGATAGCTCAACATAAAATATCCTGCATTTCTATAGAAGTTGACTCTACAGAGTAGTCAAGATTGGCAAGAGGTCGACCATACAGAGGCGTCATGACAAGTGAGAAGTCGACCGCATCAGGTAGATGTAGGCGGAGATGGCTTGATAAGCGCTTGAGAAGCCAATTGCACGCAGCTCGAGGAGAAATTGAACCTGCAGGATATCTTACGTGACTTGTAAGCAAGCAAAGTTGGTAGGAGAGCAGGTGAAAGACCACTGTTAACTGGTAAAAACTCCACCCACTGTGGACTACATCAAAAAAATATGGAGACAACGTGATAGAGTGTAAGGATGGAATGTAATGATGGAAATGACAGAGGTTGAGGGAAGACATAACAAATATATACGAGAGAAAAGGGCATGCCCAAGGGGCTGATTATGTAACTTGTATTATGAGAAGATAGTAAAGATTTTTCCTCCTCACAGTGGACGTAGCTCTTGAACAAAAAGAGTGAACCACTATAAATTTTGGTGTTCTTGCTCTTTGATTAACTTTAAAAAATCTTCTCAAAGCAAGACTACACCGTTAAAATCACGTTAACCACTTCTAAACCTGAATTAATTGAGTTGACGAATTTTCACCGTCAACAACAACGTCTTGTTATTACCATTATTGTAGACATGGTATTTTTTGTTATGAATATTATGAAGATTGACTCCCCCTGCCCCAATAAAAATTCATGGCTTCGTCACTGTGTTTAGACTTTTAAGAAAATAAAATTTACGCCATAACCCCGGCCTAGCTCGACTTTGGCCTTGATCTGACCTAACACCAAGACAGGGACGATGGAAAAGGTAGAGAGAATCAAAAGGACCTTTTTGCAAAGTTTATTATATAAATTGGGTAAAATGTAATTTTAAAAAAATTTGTAATGTCAAAATATAATTTTATAAAAATCAATGGATCAAATTGTAGTTTACAACGTTGGGGGAAAAATATACTTTTTAAAAGTGATAGATCAAAATGTAATTTTATGATAAGTTAATTAAGGGTTCCAAATATTATTTTGTTAAAATTAAGGGATGAAAATGTTATTTTTAGAAAATATAAAAATTCATTTTGTCCCTAAATTTTTATAGAAAATTATAGTTGACCCTAATTTTATAATAATGTGTGCAAAAATACCAAAACCTAGTTTGAGATCATAACTCTTGATTTCGATCCTGACCTATGTCCCGAAATCCAACCTCAAAACATGAGCTCGACGTTGGCCACGGTCCTTAACTCGATCCCCACTCTAGCATAAAAACCCTACCTTGACGGTCTCAAAAACTCGACCCCAGCCTTGGTCCCAAACCAAACCCTGAGATTCAACCCAAGTCCTTGTCCTAGACCTTGACATTGATCTCGAAACCTGACACAAATCTCAATGTACCTGGTCCTGATTCTCACCTATGATATCTTTGAAAATTTATATGTTTTAATTGTCTTTCTAGTTAAATTATAACATGGTCTAATACATAGACTCTTTTCCACTAAATATTTGTTTGAAGTTTGATTTTCATATTGAATTTTACAACATAGAAATGTTGCCAAACACTATTATTTTGATCAGCAGCAGAAGTAGTGATTTACTAAGCATGGTAATTCTAGTCTTCTACTTGGATAAATGGGTATTGACACATATTACAATACTAGTTGGAAGCATGGCGCTTGTATTTTCCATTTGCTTATTTTTCGGATATGAAGATGTAAGATTTTTTAAAAGTTTAATTTCTTTTTTTATATTTATGTAAGATCTAGTCTGATTTAAAAAAAAAAAAAAAAAAAAAAAAAAAAAAAAAAAAAAAAAAGATCATATATAAAAGAAAACAAAAAACCACAAAAATTATAAGATTTAAAGAAAACAAAAAACCACAAAAAGAACAGGAAAAAAAAGATGAGATCGAAACAGACATCGTTTTGGTCAAAATTACAAAACAATAGACAAAATATTGGTTATTTGGGATATATTTAGGAGAAATTATTTTAATAGTGACAAATTACAAGAAAAATTCAAAACAAAAATTCAAAACAAAAAATTAAATAGAATAACTAAAATATAAAAGTTATATATATAGATATATAATAGAAACTGGGCATACTTAACATTAAGGACATAAAATTTAAAAATATAAATAGAAAAAATGCATATTCAATTGAAATATGTGTCGTGGTTATATTTTTTGTGGATATTATAATCCTTTAAGATAGGAAAAGAGAAAGCAAGCTATAAATAGAGAAATTAGACTTTCTTACAAGCTTGCTAAAATAGAATAGCAAGTGATAGTTAATCTCACACTCTTAGTGGGTGTTTATTCTCAAAAATAAGAAAGAAAGAGAACAAAATCTTTGGCGAATAGAGGATTCCATTTCCTAAAACAGGTAAGTAGGAATCTCGCCTACAGTATAAGTAGATTTTAAAATAAACAGTACCCATGAATTATATGTGTTAGAGTACATTTCATGTTATAGTATGCTATGTTATGTCATATTGTATACACCTTAATAAGTCAAGAGGAACTTATAAGAATAATCTCAGTTGAGTGCCGTACCAGCCTCCTAGTTGAGAGGTAATCCAGTTTCAGAACCTCCTAGTTGAGAGGTAATTCAGAGCCTCTTAGATGAGAGGTGCTCTGGCCCAAGTGAGGCATTCAGTTCAATTTTAATTACGAAGTCGATGGGGGCCTTATGAACCCTCACGTCCCGTATATCGCGTGCAAGGGTACAAGCACTCGGGCCCATTAGTAAGAAAGATAGGACCAGATAATAAATCTATGAAAAGAAATCATAACTCAGCATAATCAGTTCATGCATATCATTCATGTGAACTTTCAGTTATTTTGTGAGTAAGAGTTCCTACTTATTGAGCGAATGCTCACTTCAGAGTACTTATACTATAGGTAAGTAACCTGTAAATAATACTTGATGGACTGATGGCGAGGCAATGGACGAGCGGAGTGGAGGTCGGGGAATGGATACCGCACGCAATTATTACCGCAATAGTTTAAAGTTTTAAATAGATTTTGTCGAATATGTCTATGAACCTGGATTTTGGAAGTTTGTAGTATGATTGTTAAGTTTATGTAAGCTAGTAGGATTTTGAGAAGCAAAAATATGCCTATGTGTAAATTTATGCTTTATAAAAGGTATTGTATTTGAAGTATAAACACTTTGCTGTGTTCAAAAGTGAAAACCAGAATTTATATGGTTACAGTAAGTTTAAAAAAAATGATATAGTTTTTAAGAGAAAGAAACTTATGCTCAGAATGTTACAACATTCGTTATAGCATTTTGTTTCAGAATGTTACAGCATTCGTTCTAGCATTTTATTTTATTTTTAAAAATGTTGCAGCATTCTATATAGCATTTTAAAAAAAATGTCTCTCAAATTTTGGGGAGTTTCAGAAAGTATATGTTAAAGTTAGTTTCAATGACGACTACTTAGCAGGGTCATTATAGTTGGTATTAGAGCTGGTATCCTGCCATCCTACTCCACACCGTTGCGTGCCTATCTGTCATAGCCTAAGTAAGTAGAATTGAAAAGAGTAAATCAGCTATATTTTTCAAGATGGATTTTAATTGTTAAATGATGTACATTTAGGATTATAGGATTGGATATGGCACAGTTAGTAATAGTTTTCCGAAACTCCAATCCGGGCAACTATGAGGGTGAGACCCATGTAGGGACGACACAGGATGGTTGATGCAGACACAGGCAATTTTAGAGGCCTGTGGAATACATCGGTAGTATTGGACTACCTTAGCCATGATGCAGTTAGTGCAAGGGGCTAGGGCCTGGTGGAATAGTCTAGAAGTTGATTCCAGACAACTGAAGTGGGAACAATTATGGTACCACCTTTAGCATTGGGCAGCCACTACCAGTAGAAGTTTTGTGTAGTAGTTTTATACAGATGATGATACATGTATAGGAAAAGGGGAAGTGATATACAAAGTACACTCCCAATAGTTTTGTATCAAAGTTAAGTTATATAAGAAATCAAGCTTATCTAAAAATTTATAGTTTATGCTTGTATTAGATTAAAGACTTATATGCGAATTAAAAGCCTATGAGAGTGAAATTATCAAGGAAGTTAACAAGATTTTAAGTATCTTAATTACGATAAGACTACATACAGTAAATATCAAATAAGATGTTTTATATAGGGCAAAATAGGGAACTTATATGACCTTTTCCTTAAAATCAAGATCATGGATCAACCGTTAGATCAGGTGGCTAGAGAACAGCCGGAGGTCAATTTGACCACTCAGATAGCCGAAATGAGACAACAATTACAAGCGCAACAGTAAGAGATGAATGCTCTGTGTGAACAGCTAGCACGACAGGCTCAGATATCTCCAGTAGGAGGAGAGCCAGTTCACGAAGATCTACCAGCATTAGAAGATCCCCCTACGCTTGACAGTTAGGATGGTCAAGAAATACCACCTGCACTGATCGCTCTTGTAGCAGTTCAAGAACAGAACTACCAACCAGTAAATAACGAACATTGGGACAGAGTTC